ACAGTTATATATAATGTTTTGACATTGTCAAAATTGAAATGTGTACATGCTACAAATTCAATTATACTAAACCATTTTTAATAATGCATTACTACAAAAAAAAAATGGAAACTGCAGTAAGAACATCTGAAATTAAGAAAAACACTTCATACCTTAATCATGAAATTAAGAAAATGATTAATGAAATTTGCTAGAATTATCTGTTTGTACAAAATTTTGTTAATGAAAAACTTTTTAGAGATTAACATATCTATTGTACTTTTTTTTTATCAATAACAAATCTATTGTACTATGTATGACAACATATATTTGCTTTCACTTTGATTGTGAGCAAAGAAACTTCAATTTCTATTTTCATTATTATGTATATGTATGCTTTCTACACTTTCTTAATCATTTGTTTTTCTTTTTTGATATCGATAAAAAAAAGAAAAGAATTCCATTATTCAAGTTAAGGGAAAACGAAAAGAAACCACCTTTTCAGGAAAATCTTTTAAAAAATACCACTTCTCACATCCCTTTTTCAATTCTACCACATTTGATAAACAAAAAAACAAATTCACCCTCAAATCTTCTTTTATATATATATATATATATATATATATATATATAGTTTTTTCTGTTTCTCCACCTCTCTCTTTCTTTCTTTCTTTGAACATATATTCTTGTATTGTAGGAATGAGACTGATGGAAATATGTTTAGGTGATGACAATGTCTACAAGAGTATTTTGAGAATGAGACTGGTGAAGGTATGTTCCGGTGACGACAATGGAAGGTTCGGCTAGGGTTCCAAGTATAGTTTCGACGAAAAAGATGATTAGATTCCATATCGAATTCGAAAATAAGAAAAAAATATGTCCATGATACAGTAAAACTTCTATAAATTAGTAATATCGGGATCATGAAATTCTATTAATTTATCAATAAATTAATAATTAATTAAGAAATTTGGCTAAATTTATAATTTTTTAAAAAAAATAGTCTGAAAAGAAATTTTTTTGTTATAATCAAAATATTTTTAGAACCCATTACAAGTTTTAAAAATTAATTATGTATAGAAAAGAACACAAAAATATGAGATGTAGTAAAAATACTAGAAATGAACTCTACAAATAATACTAGAGTTATATTTTTCCTAAATTTTCCTAAATATTCGAAAATTTTATATAATTATTAATATATGATATTGATTAGATAATATGTTTACATAGGATTTTCAAAAAAAAATTATTATCTTATTATTTTATTAATTTGTGTCACTTTTTACACTTGTCCCAAATTGGGATCGGAAAAATTTATTAATTTAGAGAAGTTATTAAATTATCGAATATTAATTTATAGAGACTTTTTTGTATACAGTAAAACCTTTATAAATTAATAATGTTGGGAACAAGAAATTTCATTAATTTAGAGAGGTATTAATTTATCGATAAATTAATAATTATTAATTTATAGAGAGATTTTACAAATTTTGTAATTTATTAAAAAAATTCTATCTAAAAATAATTTTTTTCCTTTATAAGGAATATCTTATATAAACTAATTCTAAGTAGAGAAGCAATTATTGAGTTTATAAAACAACACAAACTTTTTTCCGAACAATACTCATATTTTATTAAACTATTTATATATAATATTTTGAATATATATTATAGTAAATCATATATGATATATATAAGTTTATATCCTATATATATATATTAAGTTATATATATTGATAAGTTTATACAATTATTAATTTATGATATAGATGGGACCATATGTTTACATGAGATTTTCAAAAAAATTATTATCTTATTAATTTATCGATTTATGTCATATTTTACACTGGTCCCAACTCGGGACCGGAAGAATTTATTAATTTACAGAGATTATTAATTTATAGAGTATTAATTTATAGAGGTTTTACTGTATATGTTTTATGTCCAATATAATTATTGTCCACGACATATATATTTGCGGTCAAACTTAAGCATACTCTAATTTTTACGTATGGTAAAGTTATTGTCTATGATATATCTTAATTATTGGCCTACAACCGAGATTAATTTTCTCAATTCTATATCATTCAGTTTTAATGGACAAACTTAGGATTTGAAATGATTTGTATTAAAAAGATAAATCCTATGTTATTCAAACATGAATTTTAAAAATCTTTTTAAAATCAAGTGTTATTGGATTAGTGATTTTAAAATCTACAATCAAATCCACTGTTATTGGAAACATTTTAAGTTGTGGATTTGAAATGACTTGAGTGATTTTTGGGGGAATTTCAGAGAACATCTAAGTTAAAAATTAAAATATTCAAATCCCATGGTTTTAGGTGGGATTTGGGAGAGTTTTGATATCAAATTCCCTAATTCACCAAAATTCACCAAAATCATCTCAAAACTCATTAAAACTCAAATCACTCCAAATTCTTTCTTCAATACAACCCCCTTACACTCATCTTAATAACTGTGTACGTGACAATTATTGGCCACATATATGATATATGAGTTTTACTCCACGACGATTTACAATATTGTATTACTTTATTATCGGTGGTAAATATTGTCCACGATATAAATTTTCTCTCCCATTTTTTCTATCACATACTCACCTAACCATCATTTTAAAAACAATTCGTCACTTTTCTCCTCTCTTGTGATACCCTATTTAGTTTTCTAAAATAGAAAAATCAATTTGAAAGTTAATTTAAGGTTTTTTTTTCCCGAATCTACTACTTTTTGAAAAATCTTTTCCAAATCTATTATTTTACGTAATTGCTTTCTGAATCTACCACTTTGTTGTTGCATTGTGGTAGAAAGCGGACTTTTTTGCCTCCAACAGCTACGCAGATTTGTGTCATGAAAAAATGATAATAAAATTAAATGCGCATATTTACGTTGGAAAAAGGACGAAAGCGTTGCATTAAATACATTATCATGTCTTTTTATTTTTACATATATTTTATATATATTTTTTTCATATATATATTCACGTATATCGAATAAAAAAAAAAAGTAATGTTTTTTTTAATAAACTCTGTCGGCTGATCCGGTCAGCCCCGATAGAAACGCACTGAAGTGTTTCAGAGTGAACTACTCCCCGAAGGGCCACCACACTATCTGTTCCGAGTTTGAAATGCTTTCTGAGTAATGCCAAATGGTAGCCAGATCGCCTGTTACTGGACTACCAAGTAAATTGTTTGGGCTTTTTAGACCAAACCCAGACTTCCAACACAAATGTGTTTTTTTTTGTTTTCTGCGTGGATCGAACCTAAGGCTTCGAATGGTAAAAGCAGTTCAAGCGTTGCAGATCATGCAGATCTTGCAGAAGATGCAGGACAAGTGCAGAACATGCAGAACATGTAGGACAAGTGCAGATCATGCATATCAAGCAGTTCAAATATGAGTTCGAATGGTGAAAGCTGTTCAACATGTGCAGATCAAATTATTAAATAATAAATAGTACACAATATAACTAAAAATTTATTAAGAACTACATATTGTTATAAACTTTATTAAAAAAATACATATATAAAATACAGTTTTATTTTTAGTTTATTTTTTATTTTATTTTATATAATGTTATAATATATTATGCTATGTATAAATAAAATCATATAAAACTAAAATATATTAATCTATTAAATAATTTAAAATATTAATCATAAAATATCCAAATACAACACATAAGAGTGAAAAAACAGACAACACATAAGCAAAAACAAATTAAATTTAATGAAAAGTATTTTGATTTGCCCATAACATATCTGCAATATTTTCTCTTATATTTGCCATATGATTTTCATCAGGTATACCACCACTCTCCATGTCATCTAGATCATTCTCAGAATTTACGTTGTTGATATTTGTATCTCCCATCACTTCAACAAAATCTTCGTCAAAATAATTCGAAATTCTCATAAAATTATGTAGTCCCTTTGTAGCCATTACCACTCTTTTTTGAACATCAATATCATATCTGGGAAAATCACTTAGAATCCTCCATTTTTTCTTCCAAACTCCAAATGTTCTTTCAATAACAGAACATAGAGATGGATGGCATCGATTAAACAACTCTTGTTTATTTCTTGGAGGAGGACCATTGTAGAACTGTGACATGTGATACCTAACAACCCCGTTCCGCGAAGATCTATAAGGTGCCAAAAAGCCTTGTTTATTTGGATACCCATAATCAACTACATAATACTTGTCTCTCGGAGGCAAAGGAAATTCAGAATCATTATCTTGTGCCATCGTTAGAACTGTTGTATCGTGACATGATCCAGGTGCTCCATTCCAAACATATGTAAACAACATATTTATATCACATATTGCCATGATATTAAACGATGTTCTATTGTGTCGATTCCAATACATTCCTTGTAGTTCAGGCTTCACCTTAACAGATACATGAACTCCATCTATAGCTCCAACAAATCCACTAAAATATGGCCAATATCTTCGATCCATTTGCAGTTTTTCAGGAATTCGACGTAGTTCTTGTCTTGTTGGAGTCTTGATATAATCACAAGCAAGTAACTCTGTTGCTCTAAGGACTTCAAAAAATTTCCGATTCACTGTTTCTTGCGTTCGTCCAAATCGTAACCCAACATCTCTTTGAACTTCATTGTGTCCTCATATCCGTAAAAACATGGCGACACTCTCTTCAATGCTAACATTCAATGTAGGTTGTAATCCATAACTTGTTTCCATTTTGTCACATAATGATCTAAAACAATCAAGAAACATTCGTAGTAACTGAAGACAAGCAGCACTATCTTCTTGTACTCGACGCCAAATATTTCTCCATCCCAACCCGCCATCTGTTTGAATTGGTCTTCTTTCAAAGTGTCGATTGTAGTAACTCAATGACAGTTGAATTATTAACTCTTCAAATTGCTCATTTTCCAAATTCCATAACTCAATTCTCTCTTCATAATTTAGATTGTGTACACCTTGTGATCGCAAATTAGCATATACGAAAAGCCTGAAATTTTTACACAGTAAACAAAAATAAACTAATGAGAAATAACGTAAATCAACAGTACTAGTACATTCTGACATTACAAAAATATAATGCAAAATAAAACATAAAGGCAACTAAAAAGCGCAAACGCTATTGAACTAGTTCTCAGATGCTGAATCACTTTGATGCGTTTCATTTAAATTTGGTCCTCCCTCAGATCCCCAAATGTTGAAAAATCCTCCTCGTCTTCGTGGTCGTGATGTCCTTGTTGTAGAAGAATAATTCGTGAATCCAAATTTTGGTGATACTCCCCTAACCACGTTTTTGGCTGAAGGAACTTCTTCTTCATGTGAAACTCTTTGGTGAATATTTGTTGTAGTTTCCTCTTCCGTTCCCAATGAAAATCCACGTTGAACATTTGTTGGAGGGATATATTGTGCAGCATTTTGTGATGAACCCCATTGTGGGACATTTGGTGATGAACGCCACTGTGGAACATTTGCTGGTGAACTCCATTGGGGCACATTTTGTTGTGTTCCCGATTGTGGGGCATTTGAAGGTGAATTCCATTGTGGAGCAGTTGGATGCGTTCCCCATTGTGGGGCATTCGAAGGTGAATTCCATTGTGGAGCAGTTGGAAGTGAACTCCATTGTGGCATATTAGGAGGTGTACTCCATTGTGGTGCAGTTGGAGGCATTCCCCATTGTGGGGCATTAGAAGGTGAATTCCATTGCGGAGCAGTCGGAGGAGTTCCCCATTGTTGAAAACCAGGACCCCACTGGCTACCAGAACTTTGACCCGATGAATAATTACCACCAAAAGATGGACTTCCAAAAGAAAAACCGCTTCCAATAAGACTCCCAAAATTTTGTCCGGAAACTAACCGTTTTCCCACATATTCACTGTCTCGTGTATATCCAGTAAGAGCTTGTAAGAAGTTCAGCTTATCTTCGATAGATCTTTCAGCTCTATCAATGAAGTATTTACGCCAAAATCTTTCTTCTTTAAATGCATGAATGCACGCCCAATAAAAATCAGTGTCATTCGGAAGTTTTATTGATTCAAATATCATCACAGCCATATCGAATTCGTTGTAATCCTCTTCGTCAAAAAAATTCGGGCGTAACTGTTGTAAACTTTGGCGCTGAAACTCTCTAAAGCCAGTTATTGTATCTGTTAGGGTTGTCTCAAATGATTGTTTTGTACGACTTCCTCTTGAACCACTCCTGGTAGAAATTCGTGAGTTTCCGGCACCTCTTTGCGAGCTACTACCACGCCTTAATCCACCTCGTTGTTGAACTCTGGATGTAGGAATCTGAAAAGGAGCAGGGGGTGAAGAATTCTGACGCAAATGTTCACGGGTAAACTCATTTGACGGACGTATTTCATCATCAATGTTAACGCGATACACTTCTTCATTTTCTTGTGTCTCAGGAACTTGATTGTCTTGCATATCACCACCATATGTTTCAAAGTATACATGACCTTCATCATTATCCGGACCATCATTTATCAACTCTCCCCTTCTTTGGTTCACAGAGAATTGAGACTGCGATTGGACGTCATATAATATGAAACATCGTTGCATCACATCCCAAAGCTCCGGCGGCTTTCGTTTAAATGACTTTACAATCTTACATACCTGTTAATAAGATGGTAAAGTTTTTAGCCTACAAATTTTATGTTAATTTACTAAAAATATTTTGGTTGTGAGACACATTATAAATACTTACTTCACGCTCTTGCCACCATGAGTTAGACGCCGATATCACTGATGTAATAGGATCAACTGAGATGTCCGTAGAATTTTTCGTAAGATGCTTGTACTTCTTGTATTTTCTTTTGAGTTGATAAAGTTTTTCTTTAAAGAACCGATAGTTTACGCTAAGATTAAACTGTTGGTTAAACTTCTCAACGATAAACTCCCTACCAAGAGGTGTAGGATCTTTGAAACGGTAATTTCTCATGGCAATTGCTTGATCGTATAACTCAAGAAATATACGTTCTCGGTTAGGAGTCCATTTAAAATTGTCTTCGCTCTACAAATTACCAAATTTCTTAATTATTTTTTTTACTTATATTCTAACTACTTTAAAATTTAGAAAATTTTAGTTATAACAAACATACCCGTGTTGACGTTTCTGTGGGAAGATTTAGATCTTCTTCAGAAAAATTTGTGTTTTGTCGTCGATTAGACGCCATATCTACAATTTTAAAAGTAATATAGTTAATATTAGTATAATAACTAAAACAAATAATTAATATTATGAATGCGTTGTGTGATGACAAAAAAAAAAGAATAACTATATGTAAATATTAAAAATTTCTGGATTATATTACCAATGAAAGATAGCAATTTAGAGTTATTTACAATTAAATATAATATATAAAGTAATATTTATGAAATTATTATGCATGTCCATATTATAAAAACATATCCTTTTAAAAATCATTTTTTTTTACGTTACTATATTTGTAAGTATATATAAAAATATTTTATTTTTGAAATGTGTCTAAATATTTTTTAAAGTATATATTAAAAATGAAATCTTAATTAAATTAATTTAATAAACTTATAAAGGCAATATAAATTTACTTTTTTTAAGCCACCAAGCTGTATTTATTAGAATATTGCAAAGTAAAGATGTAGTAACAAATTAGAAAAGTAAAAATATATATTTGGAAGAAATTATATTGATAGGTGAATCTATATATGATTAAAAAATGTTTATTTATATTGTTTGGCTAATATGTTCACTAATATTCTACTTCATGTAAACACAATCTTGATCTCCGTTATTGCAAGAAAAATAAGAAATATTCTATCAATACATTTGACATTAACATCAAAGAAAATTATAACAAAAAAAAAATGTATACCTGTAGACAAAACTTTATGTGATCTTCAACGTCAATATTTCCACATGAACCAGCACACTGCCACATGAAAAATATTTTATGAGAAATAGTATTTTTACCAATATAATTATTAATACATAAAAATTCAAAATTAAAAGAAATTCTATGAATTTTTTAAAAATCTTAAAAATATACCAAAATGACATACATAAAACTGATTTACTAATTTGTTTAATCTCTATATTATAATACTTTGAAAAAAATAGACTAGTAATAGAAAGTAGACAATCATAACAATTTATGAGAAAGATAATTTTATACTATATCTAAATAAATTAATACCATAATATTTATTTATAATTTTGTGAAAAAGAAAAAAATATTTTCTAAATGAAAAGAGAGAGCAACGTACAAGAGGGAGAAAGCAAATTTTTTTTAATGGTTTGTGGTATGTGTATAAGTAAGTACAAAGGAGATGTGTTATTTTATAGAGGATAAGAAAGATTATTTAATTAAATTTTTGTTTTAAAAAAAAAAAATTAAAACTGCCGTTGGATCACACCAATTATCTGGTGGGTGAGAACTGCATTGATTATCCTGCTTTTATCACTAAAAAACAAAATTTATTACTCTGCATGCAGTCAACTCTGTTTTTTTTATCTTTTTTCTGAATGACACATTTAAAACAGGAGAAACACATTCATTGGTCATCTGCACTTTATCTGCTACGCCATTTCAATGCCTAAGATAATCCCTTCCAACATTTTTCCAATTCTCAACTACCACTGGACAACAGCTGTGTGGGCACAAGAGAGGAGAAAAGTGACAAATTTTTTTAAAATGATGGTTAGGTGAGTATGTGATAGAGAAAATGGGAGAGAAAATTTTCAGTATCATAAACACACACAAACGTTGGCTACAAATTACATACTGAAAATATTAATAGAGAAATTACACAATCGCCCAAACACCTCTCTATGATACATAAATACCCCAAAACTAATACACCTACTCACTCCCGCCCGTTTTGTGTCCCTCACCAAAAGCCCAATACCACATATATAATTCAATTAATCAATACTAAGCAAAAACAAAGTTAAGAAAATCAAATATATGAATAAAAATGACAAAAACCCTTTAACCCAACAAATACTCTTCCTCCTCACTACTCAGTTACTCACCACCTCCAAATTTTTTACCCTTTCATCATCTGACTTGAACTTAACCTGTGATATTTCCCGATATCTCAGAACCCTCGTTGATTCTCAGTGTGATCCATCTCGTTGGTAAATAGCAATCGATACTTGAACAGTTTGGTTGGATCTGTACACAACATGAGGATCACTCAGAGGCGGCTGTCGGGAGAAGTATGTAATCTCGCACGCATCATTCTTTCTCTGGGGTTATATCCAAGCAAGAGAGCCGCGGTCATTTGGATTTTGTGGGCGTCCTCTTGTTGGTGTTGGTGGTCGATTTGCATTTAACTCCTGCAAAATAAATGCTCAGTGACACCATTTCTCAGGTTGACAAAAGAAAGATAAGTATATGTTTGAGATAAAAACCTGCATCCATGTATCCTCTATATGTCTTTCTGGTGAAGTTTCAGGTGAGGTAATTGCTGGAGGCAATGGATGGATAAGCTTAGGAACCACCACAAGATCTCTCCCCAACACCAAGATAGCCCCGGCATTGTTTGCAGTACCTGAAAAGGAAGAAATATAGATAATTTTTGTAAGAAACTATCAGATCAGGTCTTATTACCGACTTAGTAGAGAGTTCTCGGTTCCATAGACATACCACAATAGTTTGTTGCTGAAAAGAGCGTTATCAGATGACCTTGGGCGAAACGCTCAAATCCGTCCATCACACATTCATGCGCACGTACAATCAATTGAAGATCATTGTTGTTGCAAAACTCCATGACACGGTCAGGCTGCAATTGCCAACTTCTTGGTAAGTAATAGAACAGGCAGAACTACTTATGGAAGCGAAGTAGAATTACATTCTCCAATATTATTGTCTAACAGCCCATGAATAAGTCAAGAGTAAGGGACTATAGCAAAATCAGTCCCTTTCACACGTTGGAAGCTCAAAATGGGAGGAAAGAAAAGATCACTCAAGGGAATGTAGTGGAGTATGAGGTGAGAGGGGAAGGGAAAGAGAGCAGTTATCAATGCAAAATGCACGAAATAGAAGAAAAAGACCACTAACCCCGAAAGTAACCAACCCAGGGCCTCTAGCATTGGGCCTCAAACCTTCAACACTGTCATTTTCAGTTGGATCCGACCTAACAGAATGCAAAATGAAATACTAGTGAGACAAGTATCAAGGAGAAATATACAATGATACAACACTAGACAAGAGCTTACCATAGTAAATCCATAAGTACAATTGAGCCAGCTTCCATCGTAATTGGACGTTGGATATTTTCTATCTGTTCCACATGATTTATCGACCGACCAATTCCCCCATGCATACAGATAATTTTATTTTCAATCAGTGCAGCCAGAGGTAGCCAATTGAATAAACGGTTTATTCGGTGCCACACCCAGATCCCATCACGTTCACCCTGCAAAGTAGCCACGACATGAGAACCTAAAAGTGGAAACAAGAGATTCACAGAGACGAGACACTACCATTCGCTCAATACACTCTATCCGGAAACCAAAAAGGGCATTAATGTCAGCAGCTTCATGATTTCCACGAATCAGGTGTACGTTATGTTGGTATTCAACCTGCAGTGTCAACCATAGAACGTTATACAGTTTCCTATCAAGAGTTAATAATACCTGAAAAGAGTGCACTAATATGGTGCTCGTTAAACTACCTTTAACGCAAGCAGAAGTGTAATTGTCTCTAGGCTGTGTTGACCCCGATCAACATAGTCCCCTAAGAAGAGGTAATCGATGTATCTGACAACCATTAATACACAGTCAGTAATGTCAGACCAACACATAGCATAGCTATAGAGATTCAGCTGCACACTTACGATATGTCTCCAGCTGTTGATGGTGAACCATATTCATCAAAAAGGCGCATGAGATCCCCAAACTGACCATGCAAATCACCAAATATCTTAATAGGAGCTTTAAGCTGTAACACAGTAGGTTCGCTTGAGAAGATACGTTCTGCACTGTCACAAAGATCAGCTATTTCATTGCAATCCAAGAAAAACTGGCGTCGAACTGGAGGCTTCCACCCCCGAGGCTTCAAAAGATGAGCTACAACCTAATAAAATGGAGTTGTGTATCATTAGAAGGTATGGAATAGTCGACTCGGAACCTCATACCATTGAACAATACACATGATCTAGTAGGATTACATGTCTGTTTACAAATAAGTTTCCAAACCTATTAAACCAAGGGGTAATACACCTCTACCGTATCTAACTACACTTCCTATTGTTATCAGACCAACCAAATGACCAGTGCCACAGTAAGAAAAATTCTTCACAATAGTTCAAGCAGGCAATAATGATTTCTTGCAGCATTTCATTTGGAGAGCAAAACTATCTACCTTTTTCGGAACACTATTGATTGACATCTGACGATCTAATAATTTCCTTGCTGCTGTTGCACTTTCGGGTGTCCCATAACTCACACGGCGTCCCTCATTTTCAAATTGATCAATGGATAACTGTCTAACCATTCCACCTAAGGCTCCACCTGTTTCTGCGGCAACCACCACCTTACAAAGTTCCAAAAATAAATGCAAAATATAAATCAGAAATTAGAGATGTAAACCACTGGTAAATGAGTTGGAAATATGTTGCAACATGTCAGATTTTACTTGATAGAGTTAGTTTGACTCACAGCTCTATGATGCAGTCGAACGCCTGCAGGAATAACACTGTTCGGTACTGCCGAATCAGGCTTAATCAATGATAATGAAGGTTTTCCACTGGGTGTAGCCTCAGCACCACGATCCCTATCTGGGAGTTCAACTTCACCGTTGACCTGTCGTGCCTTCGCAGCAGCTAATGTTGCACTAATAGCCTCGGCTTCCGCAGCAGATGCTTCAACGAGATACTCCACACCCTTGCTTGTTCTCCTACAATGTTGTTTGATAAATATTTTACAACAAAATGCATAGGTGTGCTAACAATATGACACACCAGAAATTAAGAAACTAACCGAGTTCCTGGAACCATTGCATTTTCAGTGCTTATATCAGTATACATATCACCATTTACAGGGGGTGCAACAGGGCTTCCCAGCACCACAGAGTCAGGAGCTGATTCTGGTAGCTCCCCTGTTCTTTCATCAGAAAATCCATATCTTCCAGGTGAACGGCCAGGTGGTGAGTTTGTTGCTGCTGCTGCAGCAGCAGCATGAGAGGCAGCAGATGTTGTTTCCGCCGCAGCAAGATCTTCAGCAACCAATAGGTCATCAAGTAACACTCCTAAAACATCAACATAATTTTGTTACTATTTGCAGCTATAGTTTAATAAAAGGCACGGTCTGCAATGGGAAGAGAAAATAATCAAAGGTCATCAAGTAACAGTGTAACACTCCCAAAGCATCAACAGAATATTGTTAAATTTTGCAGCTATAGTTTTAAGAAAATACACAGTCTGCAAAGTGAAGAGAAAAGAAGCAACAGCACATATATTTGGTGAAGAGAGAACTCTATAACAGTTTGACTAAATAATACTGATAATAGTAAGCTCCAGACTTTAACAAAAGATCAAACTAGCTATATAAAAAAGTTCAATCCTACATTAGCATACACTAACAACTCGATGAAATATTATGCCAAATTTACAGATCAATGGATTCTCAGTACTATTTTTTTAATTTTTTTTTTGAACAAAAGATGCTCAGTAGTCAGTACAATATGACAGGTTCATTTCATGGACAAACGTGTAATGGTATATTGCCTATAACAGCTGCCAAGCTTTTTTCCTTACCTCCACGCAAACCACCATAGATGAATATCAAATCACCCACTGCAGCAGCAGCATGCCTGCAACGCCTAGTCAGCTCAACAGAAGCATCACCACCAGCTGCATCAGCACTATACCTACCAGTTCTAGGACTAGTAACAACCGATTTTGTATCACACCAAACACCTGCTGCAGTATCCAACACTGAACAAAGAGAAAAACATGAACCAGTCAGAGAAGCTTATATGAACGCATGTACTAGTTATTATGAATAGAATTTTGTAGCTCCTCTCTACAAAAGTTATAGATGAGTGAACATTCTTTTACAATCCCTGTTTGATAGTTTTAGATAAATCACAAATATTAAATCAAATTTTGGCTTCTACAGTTCATTGGGAAGAATGATGCAGCTTAAAGGATGACTATAACTACGCTTTTAGAAAGAAACAATATGCCTAGGGAAAAATTCATCGATTAAGACCTAAAGTTGTATAATAAATAATATATTCATCATTTTAAAGGTTGTACGTATAAGCAAAAAAGGTAAGTAT